ATTAAAGAGTTACCTCCTAACTTTAGAGGTAATGTGAAATAATGAATTGGAATATTCTATTTTAACAAAACAATGGGTTAAAGTTTTCAAGAATGTTAAACTGACATTGCATAATCTTAAAATGAGATTAATTTAACAAAAGATTATTGTTTGACCTTATTGGACAGCCCAGAGAATGCATCCATATAATCAAAGCTTACTTTCTTGTTCTGTGTGGTTATGGTTTAATTTCTCATTCAAAATGTAAGTTCTAGTGTATCAATGTGTATTACTTTTCTTTTTCCTTTCTTTTTCCTGTTTCTTTTTGGTTATTTATTAATTTTGGGTATTGTTTTATTTCTTTACCATTTTCCTTTTTCTTTTCTTATAGGTTAAAAGTATTTTTTTAAAAAAGCTTCTACATAAGCCAACTATATCTACATTTTAAAAGTTGTCCAACTGCACCATCATTTCTTGCAGCCTTACCACTATTTAATATTCTCACATAATTATGACTTACTTTTCATCCATTTTTTCTATGACATTGGCATATATAGCATTCATTTTAATTCCACTTTTCAACAAATTTTTTTGGGGGTGCTTATCTTCTAACACTTTTTAATCTACAACTTGTGCTTTTTCTTCCTATACTTCTCCTTTAATTGTTTTCAGTTCTTTTCTTCCCAAGATCCGCTCCTCATACTACCAAATCATGGCCAGTCTCACATTCAAAATCTCTCATTACCCTAGTATCCTTTAGTAATTATTTCTTTCATCAGAAACAAATCAATCATGGTTTGGGATTTACTGTATATTCATTCTTTGTCACCTGTATGCATGAATAGGCTTATGTTTCATCCACCTATTCAGAACGAACAGACCTTTTGCTACCCAATCACCCAATCACCACTCTGATTCTGTCATGGGTCTTGAATGTCCCAATGTCATTTTCTGTACTCTTTCATCTTCTTCATACCCATTGAGCCAGTCACTTAACAGAAAATCTTTTTTAACTCCAGATCACAGTTACCTAGCAAAGCAGTTCCTGTTAAGCTTGTATATGTAATAAAATATAGAGGAGTATTGCTGTCAGTCACAGCTAATATATGATGGACAACAATAATATCACTTAGTTGAGTTTATTAAAACAATTCTTTATTTGCATATATATGTATATATTTAATACCACATAATTACTAACCTAAGGTGTTACCTTGAAAAACACAGTTGCAAATATAATGACTAGTGATTGCAACCCTGGAAAACACTATTTATTGCACAAGTGTTTCCTAAGCACTGATGACTATATATAGTTCCCCTTGTAATAAAATTTCATTGTGTTTAGGTTTTTCATTGCTTCCTTCCATGACTTTCTTCCAGACTGCTTGATAGTCTTGTATGAGGAGATAAGGCAGCAAGGTGTGGGTAGAGAGGAAAAAAGAATGGGGAGAAGAGCTATTCAGTCCCAGGACATTTAACTCCCAAAGAAGAAGCTTGTAAGAAATTTGTAAGGCCGTTCTGGTCCAGAAAGGACAAGCTTAATGCAGTGCAGGAGATAGGATGGAAGTGCCTATTATTTCAGTCTGCCCAAGGACTAGTGTTGATATTAGCTGTTATTTTATGATGGGTACAATTCTCTCCTGTTACATCGGGCACAGTTCCATCATGCTAAACAAAGTGCAGTGAGTTCATACACAAAACTCTGCAATTTAGTCCCTAAAATGTTTGAATTACATCATTTAGAAAGACATCAACATTGATACATCTATTCCCATGTTGCTTGTTTAGGCTAAGGGAAAAAAACTTCTTACATCTCCCTCCAAAAGTCCATCCTTTTTATGCTTTTCTAAAGACAATTCCTTTCTGATCCATGCTGAACTCTCCGGATACCCTTTGAAGTATCTAACAACAGGGTCAGTTCAAGGCCTTCTGTTGCTTGTAACAGAATAGCAAATAAGACACTTTTACCACTCAAGTCAAGCAAGGTCACCCATGTTACTGGGGTGCATGGAGAGAAAATCCCACAAGCATCATACCTTTTACTAATCATCTTAATAAAACTACAAGAACAAAATAAATAATCATTTGCTGCCCCAGTGTGACACAGAAAATAGGCTGACTTCTCTTTTTCTAATGGTAAGGCTGGCTCTTAATATGAATCTTGAGTTGAAATTATATGATATACTTCTGGTGAATAAATCAAATGTTGAATGTAGGTGGATGGATCTGTTCTTTTCTGCAGCTCCATTCATTTCAAAAGTCTCTAGAGCTGAACTAGGTGACCTGTGAAAGTTCTAACTTTGGAACTGCAATTTTGTTTTCTTGTGAAGAACCAATGTGTGATTGGCATATGAGATAAGTCACGTGGCAATGGACCCTGACCTTTGTACACTACAGCCCAGATTTTAGTCATAATCTGCTATTTGCTAGAGAGAGCCACATGCTTATAATGTAGTTTTAACTACTTGGACATTAGCTCCTCAGATACATCATCTGCCAATTATTCATTACATTTATATTTCCCATTTTATCAGGGACTCGAGGTGGTGTTTATGTCTCTTCCCTCTCTCAATTATATCCCTAATAGTTTGGAGAGGTAGCAATTGGACCATATTTACTATCAAATGTCATAGTTGAGTGGGAGTTGAATCTCGATCTCACTAGTTCTAATTCCATACTCTAATCTCTACACCACACTCTCCATTTTTATTTTATTCTAAGATATGGTTGTTTTAACAGTGAGTTGTTAAACAGGCATAATCAGTCCTCCAGATGATTAAAATGATCATTACTTGCTTGGACAGTTTTTTCCCCTTCCTTTTTAGCTGTGCTTTTGTACCTAACGCCTGGTGCTTTGTACTTTGGCCATAAACTTGAGGACACAAAACCAAGCCAGAATAAGCAAAGAAATTACCAACAAATCATACATTTCTGTAGCACATTACAGGAAAAAGATGTATTTGAACTGAAGAGAAACTGGAGTATTGTATCACATTACAGTAAGCCACAGTTGGAATTAGTAAACCAACATTTATTGCATGTTCTATTCTCTGCTGCCATGTGAACACCACACTAAACCAAAAACCATACAGATCACATTATGGCTTAATGTGATATGTGAACCAGTCATTATGGCTAAATGCTATGTATGTAACTACTCACTATGGCTTATTCAACAACTATACTTCAAAAAGTCATAACTTAGCTCTGGATCTATGCTAGGACCAATATTTACTTCACATTTTCAGGGCTGGCCCAAGATGTTTTGTTGCCTGTGGCAGACAAAATTCCCCTCTCTTCCAAGTACAGAAGATTACGAGGTTGAATGACATTTCAGTACTGGCCAAAGGACAGTATTTTTCCTACACTAAATAGCAGTGTTTCAATTAGGGAACAGGAGAAGCAAATGACACAAACTCATTTCTCCTATAACTGGCCAGTATTTACTCACCACAACACCAAATTGCTAGCCATCCCATAGCATCTGTGGCTGGAGATGACCAGCCTACTTTATTTGCCTACTTCATTTGCCTTTTTATAAGGCGGTCTTTACTTCGTAAATGTTGACTGGGTGAATTTGCAAAAACCTATCCACTTGCACACTAACAATAATACACTGAATATCTCATTATGTCAATCATGTCTCTCTGTATGTGTGTACGTACACACACACATACACATACACACATACACACATATAATATATTCATATAGACACAGACACACACAGACCTTGGTTTGAGTAAAATGGCAATTCTGTAGCAGGAAGTAGGCTGGTAAAAGAAGTTAATGATTCACTTTTCTCCCTGTCTCTTAAAGCAATTGTTATATCTCTTATTATGATGCTTTAACTGTTGAGATAAATGACAAGGTTGACAGAAAGATAGAAAGGAACCAGGATTTCTGAGCACAGTGTCAGAAATAACTGAGTGGAACAGATAAACATGCCAGGCCTGGGATACTGTATAACAATCCAAAAGAGTGAGTAGAATCAATAAACAGATATGAGTCTTGGTTCTGCTTTAAGAAATGTTGCCATCATCTTGTGTGAAGTCCCATAGTGAAGTAGCAAAATAACTGAAGGAATGGGTGGAAAGCCCAGTGCTAAGTAACTGGGTTGAGCAGAAAGGGAGAAGAAAACAAAAGACAATATTATCCTTCTTGAGATGCTACCTCCATCACCCTTTCTTCTTCCATAAAGGGGGAAACTAAAATATTTATATGAACTAAGATCCTTATAATATTAAGAACTGATACCTGACTTTACTTACTTTTCTTTTTCCCACATCATCTTTCCCCCCTTCTGTGTCACTGTAATTGTAAACTTGAGGGCAGGGACTAAGTAACTAATTTATTGATCTATAAACTGCATTGGGTAATTTAGCGCAGAAGATGATTGATAGACAGACAGACAGACAGACAGACAGACTGTGCAATGCTTCAGACTTGTTAGAGAAGATATGCTGTATTCATGCTTCTGACTGTTCTGAAGTATCTTGGTGCAATCAAACCTGAAGCACTGCATAGGCCTGATAGAAATATTCAGGCTGATACTATCTAGTGTAGATTTCAAGAAATTTTAATACAGTTCCAAAATATCTTTCATCTAATATGAATTCTAAAAGCATATATGCAAGACCAGTAAGTTTTTACACACCTTGTCTAATATAGTAATAATAATAAGAGCAATAATAGTACAGGTCTGCTGCACAAAAGCATCATTTATTTGCGACAGTGCGTATTTTCTGGCTCCCTTCCATTTCATCTCCACAGCAGTCACCCTGTAAGTTGGGTTAAAGTGAGGCATAATGACTGGACCATGTCACCTCATGAGTGTCAAGGACATATGCGCACCCAAATCTATGTTTCTCTGATCCTGGTGTAGCATACTAACCACAACACTGGTTGTAATCATTTCCATACTGATTTAATTTCAAAAGGTATAATATTCCAAGAATAATATTTTGAACTGTTTTCATCTACATTTGGTAAGATTGGAAATTAAGATTTGGGTACAGTACCTTGGCTTTGTCCCTCATCGAACCTTTACCAAGGATAGACATTTTTGCACCCGTTTCCTCTTGTAGTCTTTTCAAGGAATTTCCTCTTGGACCAAGCAGTTTGCCCACAAAATTAAACTAAAAGATAAACAGAAAAGACAAGGGATAAACATTAGATAATATTTCCTTTTTGAAGTAAAGTAGCAGGGAAGTCTTGTACAAGAAGAGAGGATCCAGAAATATCATGTCTCTTCAACCCCACATCTACTGTATTTTATTTATTTTCTCATTGCTATCCTACCTTATTATAATGACTCTTGACAGCCTACACAATATAAGAAAAATAATTAAAGCATCCACTGTCTGTCTAAAATAGCAATTGAATAAGTAGCTCATAAAACTGTGAAATCTGTGCACAATATAATGATATAGTAAAACAAAAATAAGGGAAAAAATATAAATAAAAGATGGCACAGTCCATAAACTTAATAGAACGTTCTCTAAAATAGCTCATTTTTTAACATCTTCCTGAATACCATGAGGGAGGGGACTAATCTGATCTCCTCCCGGAGGCTATTGTAAAGCAGTAGCTTCATCTCCCTCACTTCCCAGAAGTGTGGGACTACAAGGAATTTCTCTCTAGTCTAGATTATCTAGCAGGCTGATTCTATAGATGTGCAAAGTGGCAAGGAGGAGCTTAAGCTTTACTTAATAATGTGTGGACCTGTATACCGCTTTCCAAATTATTTGCAAAGCCACTCACAAGTAGATTAAAAGCACATCATCATAAACATACTACTCATATTTACATTACCACCTACTAGATATACATACAAATTGCTTAATATATAAAAACATGTTTCTTTTATGTTTCTTACCCCAATATATCCACATTTAGTTAACAAAACAATGCAATGATCATATCCAACAACATCAATAGCATATATACCTATATCTATATATATATCTATATACAGTATAAAACAAATTTATATTCAAAAAATTATCAGAGGACTGCAGTAATTATACCAATTTTTCATGAGTAATTCCCTGGAAATAATCTATTTTAATCAAAATCCAGACTTTTTTTAAACAGCAGTTTTAAAGCAGCCAAAGAGGGGGAAAATATTGAATGTCATATCTGTAAATTGATTTCCCATCCCCCAATTACTGGGACAGTTTGAGCTAAACCATCTTCTTCTTTGTGCTGAAATCACAACTCCCAACATTCCCAGCCAGCATGGCCACCACAGAATATCAAGATTAGCAGATCACCAAGTCCAACCCCCTGTGCAGTGCAGGAAACTACCACCTTGCCTTCCCTCCAGAGCAGAGGACCATCCAGCCAAGGAGAATCCAACATTTCCTGAAGCAATCTGTTGCACTGTTGAACAATTATTACAATTGGGAAGTTTTTCCTGATATCCAACCAAAACCTACTTCCTTTCAATTTAAACCCATTGTTTCAGTTTTGATTTATAGCTCAGCAACTTCAGGAGGGCCATCAATTCCCCACTCCTAGCATACATAAAATAGGAAATATCTATATGACAGATCATGAATTACTGTTCCACAAACAAATGGTTCTTTCTCCTTTGTTCACCTGTCAAAAGCTGGCAGAAAATTTTTACTGATTAACTTTTGACTTGCAGTACCAATTCCCACACTGCACTAGAGAATATCCAAACTCTCCACAAGATCTTTGGGGTATAGAAGCAATCAAGAGCCACCTCTTCCCTTCTCTTAGTGGTAGTACCGGAACTTGGTCACAGCAGATGGCTGAAGATTTCCTTCTGCTGTTTTTGGTAAGAATGTATCTAAATTCAAATAGTTCCTCATAAACTAGTTGAAAATAATATGTATCTTTTTTAAAAGAATCAGTTGTAGGAAATAGTGAAAAAAATGTCCATCCTCATTTCACCACTGTCCAACAAATAAAGTTATATGAACACTTTCAGTTCAGTCACACTTTTTGGAGATCTTTCTCTGATGGAAATTTCTAGTTGCCTTCATACAAGTTTACTTCAAAAGTATTGTTATACCAAAACTCATCAAGTGTAGTGTGCTTATTTTTTTTTATAATACAGGCATCAATCACACTAGAGTGATGTAGAACAATTCTCGAAAGAAAGAAACCAGCACCATTTAATTTTAAGTCAATGTGGAGATTGTTATAATGCAAGGTCTACCAATGGTTTTATGAAACATTTTTAATTACATGATCAGCCTGTATTATGTATTATATATAACCTAGCTGACACTCAAGTTGGAAGAAACTTAATTATTTCAAAAATTGTATATCAAAATCTAATTATAGGATGCATTATAACTCATTGGAATTTTGCTATCATCATTAATAGCAATTATAATTAAGGCAGTACTTACATAGTGATTTGCATGTTCATAACACAATGCAAACATTAATTTTCTTATTCAAGTCAGACTCATATTCAAAGGAAACCACTTATTTTAATTTTACTGATGTGCTCTTGCTCATTAACATACCTTTAAAGAGACCATATTCATTTACAAGCAGCTCTGTTTCAAGAGAGGCAGCTTAAAAAGTTACCATTTCCCAAAATTTGAAGCATTAGAGTGAGGAAATGGGCTGAAACGGCTAGTGTTTCTTTGCAACACTACAATTATTGGAAGCGGGAATAAGACTCGTGTCTCAGAAAGCTCTCAATCTTACTACACTTCAGCTATCTCCATTAGCCAAGCATTCTTATGAGAAGCACGTTCCCCCTCTGATATTCAGTGGATGTGTGATCCACAAAAATAACTTTCTTAAAGGGCCATTGCCTGATTTGCAGCTATTGGCTCCTCTGGAATACAATGGCAAGGATTTGTATTGTGTTGACTGAGTATGTTTAGCCTTAAATTCAGTAGAGATATTTGGGTTTTGCTCCACAGTATTTATTTATCATATTTATATAGCCGCCCATCTCACACAAGGTGACTCTGGGCGGTGTACAACAATTAAAAAAAACCCCATAAAAACAACTACATATAAAAAAATTGTAAAAACACACAAAACAGGAGGGGATAAAATTAATCATCTCTCTAGTCCCCTGAGAGCCCCAGGCCTGATCACATAACCAGTCTTGAGGGACTGATGTTATACTGGAATATATTACTTTTATGATACTTTAGATCTGCATCTTCAAACCTGGACAGTCCTGCTGCTCAAAAAGATGATTTACCAGATGAGGTTCTTCTCCCTCTTTGGAAGAGAGAGAGAGAGATGGAGACTATGACACCATGCAAATGTCCTATAATACCATGATTACATGAAACCATCTAAATGACCCTTGATAAGTTCAAGGCCATAGACAGAACTTCCACATCAACTCATATGATGATAAATTCACTCAATGTGCTGTTTCATACAATCTCTTCTTGCTTGATGGCTATCAGTTGAATGTATCTGGTGATGCCATGAAATTCTTAGCATATGAGATGATCTGTAGAGTTGCAAAAGTAATATTGTTACTGTTATATTGGTATGCATCATAAGTGTGGTTCAGTATGTGGTTATAAAGAACTAGATTCAGACTAGGGAAACTCAGGTTCAAAACCCTGCTAAGTACATAGCTCTTGGGCCAGTCAGGGTATTGTGGCACATGCCATGTTGAACTTTCTTGATCAAAGATGGAAACTAAATATAATAAATATGTATGTGTGTGATACATATTTATCATGGGTATGATGAACTCCTGGTGTTTTCTTGGCAACAATTCAGAAATGGTTTACCACTGTCTTCTTCCAAGACAATGTTTCTTGACTTCCCAGTCCAGTCTTCAGCCCTCGTATTTCCTAGTAGTGTCCTGTTCGAATACTAGCTAGGTCCTATTTGGCTTTTTGAGATCTGCTAAGTAGCTACCATCCAGCTGGGTGTGTATACATACACATACACACACATATACACATACCAGAACAAAATTGTGTTCCTAAATATCTCCCTATTTACATTTTTGAAGTGCAGGTAGAAAAATGTAACATTGTTCCTTGTTTGAACAACTTCTGCATATCTTATTGTCATTTGTTTAATCTCCATAGAAACGTGCATAAAAAGAAATGTTCTCAGTTTTTATGAAAATCAGTTTAATAACATGTACTTTGTTTTAAAATATGTGCTTAGTCATGAGGTCTGATTCTCAGTGTTACATTATTCATCAGAAGATTCATACATATCTTCACTGGTTTTAACTCCCCTTCTATTACCTATAGACTTTCATACTCTTTTCAAATAATGCTTTCAAAATAAGGCTTCCTGGTTAGCAGTAACTATAGCTAAGCCCTGATTTAACAGGAAACCATGATGGAAGCAAGCCAATAAAAGATGGAATAGAGAAAAAATATGGAAGGAGATCCTGCTGCACATTCCTCATGTTATGCCTGAACAAAACCTCTGTTGGCTGTTTATTCTAGGGAGAGCTCTGAAGGCTTCCGTGGATTCCACAAAATACACTGTGATTAGTGGTGAGATGAAAAGCAGATATTTAGGCTTCAATTTGGATCTGGCTACAACTATGTGCAAATACCACAGGATTTTAAAGATATCTCCAAATTCCCCCAAATTCCTCAAATGATGGAGGGGCCCCTTTTGGTTTCCCTGTTGTGCTGTTCTGAAGTGAGCTGGGCACTTGCTGGTTACATGCTCTGTTGATTGACAAGTTCTGCATCTCGTTGCTCTGTCAGACACTAGCACTTTTACTGAGCAGTAAAGGCACAGTCCCTGATCCCTTCTTCGTTTCTCTCCTGATGACAGGGATCCCTTGACTGCTTCTATATGCATGGGTTCTCCCGTGCTGGATTCCAAGGAGGCCATTGGAAGGGATGGTATGGGGGAAGACAGACTGTAGTGTCTCTTCTCCTTCCCGTTCCTTCCCTGCCCATTCCTCTTCCAGTCAGGCATCTATTATTACACAATGCTGATACAGTTCTTCCAGGGTATTTGGGGTGCCTTGCCTCACCAGCTCGTCTCTTAGGTCTTCGGCCAGCCCTTCTCTGAACTGGTCAGTCAGGGCTAAATCATTCCAACCTACATTGCCAGCAAATAATTTAAAGTCTGAAATATATAACCTCTTTTCTGTCCCTGCTTGAGCTTCCGGATCTCTCAACTAGCAGTGATTCTCTGTATGGATACCCAAAGTGTCCCTTGAGTTTACACATGAAGTCCTGATAGTTGTCCAGCACTGGATCATTCCCCTCAATGAACGGTATTGCCCACTTAGTTGCTGCTTCCTTCAGCAAATCCAGCACAAAAGTCACTTTGGTGTGATCAGTGGGAAACTCCACTGGCCTGCCTGCCATAAACATCTCACATTGAGCTGTGAATGTCAGGAATTGATCCTGGTCCCCTCCAAAATTCTCTGGCAAGCTCCCTTGGGGACACAGAAGCATTGATTGGGCCACTATCTGTTGTGTTGCTGTGGGTTGAGGCAAATCCTGCGCCGGTTGTTGTGCTAGTTGTTTCATGGCATTCTGCAGATTGGTCACCTGTACATCCACTTGCTGCTGGTTTTGCAACAACGCTGCTGCCAGATGCTTGGCAGATAGTGGAGTTCCTTGAGGATTGGAGGTCATTCCTGAAGTTCCTCTCTTTAGAAGATAGTATGAAAGTTGCCAGATTGATGTCAGGCTTACTAGGTAGACCAGACAGAAAATACAACCAGATGGGCTAATTACTTATTATTGTAAAGCTAGATTAACTAAATTTTGCAATTCTGAAAGTTCAATTCTTCTCTTAGAAATGAGGGGTCTCATTTCTAAGAGGATAACACCCTTAACATTCAATTTACCTTTAAAATAATAGTACTGGGAACTTCACTTCCATTGCCTAGGAATCCTTTTGACCCTTAGTATTTATGTGTAAAAATGAAATATTTAGTGTTTTTTAACATAACTAAGAGCAATCCATTTGACAGATACCTTTTGAAGAAAAAAAGCCAATAAAGCAGAGCGGTTAGGGCTGGACAGATCTTTAACAGAATGCTTCTCTTCACTGAAGGCTCAAGCATAGCACCCTTCAAAGCTGCTTTATGAAATAACACACCCCACCTCACTACTCAGAGCAAAGGGAAGTAGCCATGTTGCTCTGTTCTTTGCTGCCTGCCAGCTCCTTCACACCCTCCTTTGGCACTTGCAACAGTGGAAGAAGCTTTTGCACATAAACATCTTCCCATGCCAGGCCTCCTTACCTTGGAGTACTACATATCTCATATTGGGCTGGTGTTGCTCAACATAGCTCCTCAGCTATCTTGAGATTTTCACATTCAGAGGGCACACGTTTTATTCCTGCAGCTTCTTTGTGGTGTTCAGATTTGTACTTTTAAACTTGGACTCTGTTCAGTCCAAGTTTATAAGAGCGATCCTTGCAGTTCAGAGAAGCATCAAGAGTGCCACCTTATAGCTAGAGACAGATTTGGTTTCTGTGGGTGCCAGAGCCTGGTACTATCTCATTACTTTCTGGTTAAAATGATTTTTTTTCTCTCAATAGGTCTGGCTCCACTGGTTCTCAGATATCATTTTAAATCAACATGGCTAAGAAGAGTTAATCGTAAACTTCAATCTCTAGGTCTCTCTTAGGACAGCCTCTGCCAATTAGGATCTGAAAATGCCAGAAGTCATTTTAAGCAGAATATCTAGGATACTGATTTTCAAACCACTCTAAACCTAGTAACCACCCTACAGTCCATGGATTTTTTTTCAAATAAGCATGTGCCCTCATCCTCTCTCTCCTCCATCCTTTGAAATTTTGCCAGGCCTTCACCTTGGCCAGGTTGGATGCATAGTGCTGTAGAGGGTGCTATAAAAATGTCCCTTCCCTCAGCACTTATGACTTTGTGGGGATGGCTCTGTGGAGTCCTGAGCCTCATGCTCCTCTCTTGCTCTTTTTACAGGGTATCTTGGATGACTTTCTTCTATCCCATTCTGAAGAAATACCCTGGCAGAGAGTATGAAGCTTATCTGTTGCTTCTTCTGTCTGACCAGGACTCTGATGTATCTTCCCAGGCTGCTCAGTTCTGTGCCCCTGTTTGTTCTGTTTATCCAAACATATAACTGAAGAATAGTACTAATCTTGGTGATGGCCACTAAGATTTCTATATTGTTGTTATATTATTTTATTGTACTTTATGCTTATTTTATCCAGCGACACTTCTTGGATTACCCCAATGTCTATGTAATGAATTGAAAAAGTTACCCTGCCAGTTATCCTCCATTTTATTGACAATGAAATGGAGTAGATTTCTTCTTGGATTATTTTATTATAAGACTTATTGCACAGAGAGTATAATGTATACACATTTAGTGGGAGGCCATTCCGCCTGAACTGGTGAAAATATCTGTTAGACATAAAATTATCAAGCCTACAGAAAGTTAAACCTTGCTGAACAAGAATAAATACGCCTCTGCAAAAGTAAATCCAGTGTGTGGCTGGAAATTCTGCAATTACTTTGCTAAAACAGACAGTTAACATGAATTCCTGAAGAAGGTTTGGTTGAACTTTCACAACTTCCTCTTTGAGTGTTGGTGTTGAGGATAATATACATTTTACATCAAAGAAGATTTCCTTAGTGAAAAGTTAGTGGAATACAGAGTCTTGCAATAAGGAAAAGCAAATTGTTTTGTGCATTTTATATAGATTCATTGCACTGAACAGAACAAACCTTCATGTAAAATGTCTTTATTTTGGAGCCAGCATCACACTAGTTTAAATGAAGCTTATACCAATATAAGTATCCTTAGAATTGCTTCTTAGTTAAATATGCGTATTGCAGTGGGCCCATCTTACAGGAAAGAAAAATAAATACTGATTTATAAGAGTAAGGTCAGGCTCTCTTGCAGGGTCTGCTCTAGAAGCAATAATTTCTTCAGTTGCATGCTTTACCATTTCCAAGTAGCTTCCCTAGTGAAAAGAATACATACGGGCATTTTTTAAATTGTTTACTTTTAACTCAAAGATGCAAACTTTAGAACTAAGATTCTCATAATCTGTAGAAATGACACTAATACTTGATCTTAAGTAGTTTTGTCTTTCTCAGCAAACTTTGCTTTGTTTTTTCTTGTAATCATCAGCCTTTTAATCTACCATCTGGTTCTTGCAGAAACGAACTGTCTTTAGAGTTCCATATGGAGCCTTCCAATGATGAAACTTGTGATTCTGTGTTTTCAACAAAGGCCACCAGGCTTTGAAACGATACATTACACTTGTCTGTCTTCTGGGACATATTATTAGCAATGATCATCATACAAGAATTGCCTTTCTCAAAAACTTTGAAGGACTTCTGTGGTTTCTTTTTTGACACAAACTGGAATTCAAATGGAGAAATTGCCCTTAAAGAACCATTGCCTTTCCCTTCATTGCTGTAGTTTCAAAGCCCAAACTTAGTATTACTTCAATTTATTTTTAAGTCCCGCTTACTCCTAGTGTACAGCAGCCCTCTAGATTAGTTGGATGTTCACTCCCAGAATTGTAAAGCAGCATGTCCAAAACGTTTGTTGACTGGCATCTCTGGGAATTGTAGTCTACCTCATCTCAAGGGCATCAGGTTGGAGAAGGCTGCTGCATGGCAAAACTTTATTTGTAAGCTGTTTCTTCAAGATGCAAATACATAGGGGCATGTGAATGATGAATTATGCAAGCCTATGAGTGGTACCAGGGCAATCAAATAGGAGGGGCTTTCACATTCTGCCAGGCACTTCCACCACCTGGTAGAGTATTTTTATGGTGGGAAAGGTCCATGCAGCTAGCATTACTGGCTTGGCTGTAACAATAACAAGTTCCCAGCTGCTTGAGAATGCAACATGGACACAGCATTTAGGCAATGGCAACTGTATGTGAAGAGAATTGAAGAAAATGATTAGCGCTTGGCAATATTCGAATAGATCAGGGTTTCTCAAGCTCAGCAAGTTTAAGATGTGTGGACTTTAGCTCCCCAAATTCCCCACCCAGTTGAAATCTGGAGTAGTTTACCTCCATGTGGTGAACCCTGTATGACTGATCTTTACATAAATACATACATGTATATACCAAGGCTATTCAAATGGTACTTTACTTCAATTAAATTTTGAGACAGAGTTTTAAACTGTTGCCTGCATCTACAGAGATGTCTTTTCTCAAAATAAAGTAACTAATCAAATGTATCTTTGCCCTGCCTCACTGCATCCTTGATGAGAAGCAACTCTTTTCCAGGGAACAAGGCACTTAACTGAGGAAAGTGTGTGTGTGTGTGTGTGTGTGTGTCTATTTATCTGTCTATCATCTATCTATCTGTCTACCTCATGTTTATGTTTTGGTCTTAGGTTCTAATTTTATTTACCATTCTAATTATTTTTTTACTGTTTATTATGTTCAGATCAAATCTATTTATTTATTGCATTTATATCCAGCTTTCCTCAGAGCTCAAGTCTGTGTGCAGTGGACAGTCCACACTAAATTTATCCCCTTGACAAACCTGTGAGGTAGATTGGGTCTAAAAACTGGTCCTGTGTTGCTCAGACATCATTGTGGTCCAATAGGGATTTGAATCTGGGTTTCTCCAGACCAAGTCCATCACTTCACTACTTTAACTACCATGGTTCCATTATATATTTTTCATTTATAATGAAAATCAAATCAGGCAAAGCAGATAACAACAAGACTTGGGAATGGTTAAGAGCAGGAAAGTTGAAGAAAGAATGGACA